TACAAACAGCGCCTGAAAGGTCGTAGTGTTGATCCGCTTGGAAACCAAAGTGTCTTACCATCCAACTCGCCAAACGTTGTGAGCACATCGAACTCCGACGCACTTGGAGCATAGATTGGCCTCGTACTTGTCCTTCAATGTGTTGGTAAGGATTCACCTCCAAACTCTTCCCATTGCGGTTGGGTCAACCTGTCCACGAGCAGATGCGCCTTGATGTCTGTATTAAAAATCTTTAAAGTGAACCGATCGTGCTTGTCGACAAGAAACGAAATGTCGAGATCATCGAAGGCACTTTCGATCGGTTTGAACAACAGCAATCCATTTCTCACATCGTCAATATCAGCGATTTGCACAAAGTGTTCTTTAAGATCATCGTGTTCTCGTCGGAAAATGTGTGATGCGATCACAACGGTGCTCGGTAGAGCGACATTTATCACCATGCACAGCAACATGGCGTCGTCGTTCTTGTTTCTCCCGCAATCACATTTATATTTCTTCACCAATTGCTTTTTCAGCTTTTGAGTTTTCGAAGCCGTTGTACTGGGAACGTTCAAGAAAGTGTGTTGAAACAATGTGGCCGCAATTACTGCGTATGGTGATGTCGTCTCGTCGGGAGGGGGAACCACCACCAGCACGTGTACAGGTGTGTTCATCGACTCGACATCCTCTAGCGTGGGTACGAACTTGACGTCCTTCTCCGACAAGCCAACCAAGTTGAGCGGCGCTCCCGCAACGTCCAATTGCTCCAAATCACTCGTGTCACTCACACCTTCCTTTAAGTCGTTCTCCGTCAGCCACGCCTCATCCTTCTTCGCCAGGAAGAGACGCAGGTCCAGCCAAGGAGCGCCGATTTTTCCATCGCTCTGATCCTTGATCGCCTTCTTTAAGTCACCCACCGACTCCGTATCGTTAATGGTCACAGGAAACGCACTTCCCGCCACTCCAACGAAAGCTTCACCATCTTTCCTCGAGGCGGTGGATTCTGGAATGAGAAAGAACTTCTGTTCGTATTAAAGCGGAAATGAAGGCGTGTGACATAGACTTCCAACCAATGGTGAAAGGCCACTTTGTTGTGTGGTTGCAGCTGGCGATAAGGAAAAATGCCGGCGTAATGTGCTGCGCTCAACGGAGGATAGCTTGATTTTCACTTCGAATGAATTCCTCCTTTGCATGTAATCCCAACGTTGCTATGTGCGGTGCTTGGAGGTGAGAAGGAGGCCTCCTTCGCATCTAGCTAGTCAAGCGATTGTGTCATTAAAAATAGCAGCTGTTGTTCTAGAAGCTTTAGACCTATCCTCGATAATAAATTACGCGAAGAAAAAAAATGATGTCGTAATGTTCTAAATATTACTACTGTCGGCGCATGGTCCGAAACACTGCAAGCGGGTCTGGGAATTGATCAGTTATGTTTCGTTGCACTGAGTCGGTCATTTAAGGGCGATACGGCAGTTGAATTGATAACTAGGCGATGAAAGTGCTTTCAACGCCGTTGTTCCAGCCTAATGGTGCTATAGTCTGCAGCCATCAGGTGTAAGTTGATTGATGGAGAAGCCTCGACCTGACTGGTGGCTTCGTACTCGCTGCAAGAACTGTGGTCTTTCACTCCCTGGCCAACAAAAGTTCCTGTCATTTCGGAATCGAGAAAGGTCTCCATCAATCTCCAGGCGCAACAACTGAAGGCTCAAGACCATCGCACGATGGAGACCCATCAATCAGTGGGCAAGGTGCTGCGCAGACCAGTAGGTGAGGTGCTCTACCTGCCCGACGGGGGCTTCTACGTGCAGGCGTGTCCACCGGGCGCCAACTTCTGCCCAGGGGCGGACACTACGACTGAAGATCGTCAGGATGGCATGTTGCCTACTGTGTTGATGGATATTGAGACTCACGACAGCGATGACGAGGAGATGCCTCTGGCAAGTAGCAGCGCCTCGTTGTTGGACAAGTTGAATGCGATCGACATCGACTCGGACGATGACGACGATGACGATGAGCCCGTTAAGGCCCGTAGCCTACCAAGCCTGCTGGATGCAGTGCCTACCATGGACTCAAACGACGAACAGCAGCCAAATGAGCGGACGAATCGCTCTCAGGTGGCCATCTCGGGGGCTGCGCTGGACTTGTTTCCCGTTGACCTCACCCATTTGTCGGATTTGGACTCTTCCTCGTCTTCGGAGGAGGAGAGCGACTCCGACTCCGACTCCGACGAAACGGAGAGTGACGACGACGATGTAGCAGTGGGTAGACGCACTGTTAGAGCGCCCCGGGTGTCGTTGTGGGAAAGTGACTATCAGCCGGTGGCCGACGTGGACTTGTTCATTCGCGCGAATATGGCGGTGATCGAGGCCAAGAAACCCTGGCGCTTTGTGTTCCGTTGCCTTGCGATGCCGTTCAGCCTCAAGCGAGAGGAGGACCCGTTCGACGTCTTCTTCATGCGCTGGGACGATTTTTGGCTCGTGCATGGCCGTGCAGTGTGGGAACGCGACTTCTGGCAGCCCCTAGTGCCCCGCTCAACCGAGTATTACCACCGAAAGTGGCGTCAAAATCGAGCTCAACTCGCTTTTCGTGACCTGGCAACGGATCTAGTGAAACGACTTGGGGAGGGTTATCCTCGAGCTCTTGCCCTGGAGCTGCACGAAGGCTGGTGGTATCGCACAGAGGTGTTCCCACTTCGTCGGTTGTTCTTCAAGAACCACAGCTACTACGAGGAGTATTTGGCGACTCAAGTGAAGAATCGCTGGCCTCGCGGCATCAGATTTCTGATGGAGCGAGGACCGAAGCCTCTGTGGTGGCTCTCAGATTCCAGTCCAGCTGCAAACAACGACGGAAAATGAAGGTCGAAGGTTGTTGTTTTATGCCGGCTAGTAAACGGTACAGATTTATCTATCTACACGTAGGAGCTGAGACTAATATGGCCGCCATAAATTATTGCAGAGCCAATGAATGCGTACTTACTTGAGAGCAGCCGATCAATTTGTTAGACCTTCACACGTACATCTAGAAAACGATCGCCAAAGGATGAGATCAGGTTATCGCATTAAAAAAAAATATATCCAGGCATAGGCATGGCATTCACTCCTTTGGGTACCAGACGACACCGTTCTCGATACAACACTTCTCCTCCTTCGAATCGCTTACCACTCAACGCCTGCATCGTCGCCTCATAGTCGCTCGTCTTCTGGCTCACAAGCACGTTGAGTACCTCGTTCATATGGCACTTCAACTTGGTTGACGCCGCGACGGCATAATGCACTTCCGCCCTGTCCGCGCCGCCGTCATTCGGCGGCATCCCCACCAACTCGAACGTGTTGATTCTTGCCTTGACACTCGACGTACGTCTCCAGAGCTGCTCGTTCCTGGACGGGTTACTGCGTAGTGCTGCGTGCAGTTTCGATAATTAATTCAACAGGTCGTCACAGATCTGCTGTCTTGAAAACACCAACCGTTCCCGACCATAAATCCTCGTCATTAACCCGGTCGGTTCCTCGGTTTGTGCTTCACCAACTGCAATCGATCCTCGTGGTGGATCTGTGTGTCGTCTCGAGCCATTCGCGCCACGTCCGACTCGCACATCGAATAGTGATGAAT